CACCCCGATACCGCACACCTCAACCTACCTCAGCCCTCTCTGCTTCCAGGCTGCTTCCCCAGGGAGCTCTGGGGATGCCGGGCCCCATCGCACGAGCCCAGTCTCCGAGGGGATGTGCCACCTTGTCCTCCTCGCTGGCTCTGACCTACTGCCCCACAAGCCGGGTGTGCGCCGGCGCGGTGCTGGGATGTGCTGCCCCACGGCCGGGGCTCGGGGCTGATGGTCCCATCTGCAGCACCCGGCTCCTGCCTGGTGCATTAGCGGCACCGGGAGATGGGGCCTGGGGCGGAATCTGCTTTCTAGGTCAGAGCCAGTGAGGGGGATGGATGAGGGGCTGCACGGATGAGGGGATGTGCTGGATGAGGGGCTGCAAGGATGAGGGGCTGCATGGAGGAGGGGATGTGCTGGATGAGGGGATGTGCTGCAAGGATGAGGGGCTGCAAGGATGAGGGGATGTGCTGGATGAGGGGCTGCAAGGATGAGGGGCTGCATGGAGGAGGGGATGTGCTGGATGAGGGGCTGCAAGGATGAGGGGATGTGCTGGATGAGGGGCTGCAAGGATGAGGGGCTGCATGGAGGAGGGGATGTGCTGGATGAAGGGCTGCATGGATGAGAGGATGTGCTGGATGAGGGGCTGCATGGAGGAGGGGATGTGCTGGATGAAGGGCTGCATGGATGAGGGGATGTGCTGGATGAGAAGATGTGCTGGATGAGGGGCTGCATGGATGAGAGGATGCACTGGATGAGGGTCTGCATGGATGAGGGGATGTGCTGGATGAGGGGCTACAAGGATGAGGGGCTGCATGGAGGAGGGGATGTGCTGGATGAGGGGCTGCAAGGATGAAGGCTGCATGGAGGAGGGGATGTGCTGGATGAGGGGCTGCATGGATGAGAGGATGTGCTGGATGAGAGGATGTGCTGGATGAAGGGCTGCATGGATGAGGGGATGTGCTGGATGAGGGGATGTGCTGGATGAGGGGCTGCATGGATGAGGAGATGTGCTGGATAAGGGGATGTGCTGGATGAGGGGATGTGCTGGATGAGAAGATGTGCTGGATGAAGGGCTGCATGGATGAGGGGATGTGCTGGATGAGAAGATGTGCTGGATGAAGGGCTGCATGGATGAGGGGATGTGCTGGATGAGAGGATGTGCTGGATGAGGGGCTCCATGGAGGAGGGGATGTGCTGGATGAGGGGATGTGCTGGATGAGGGGATGTGCTGGATGAGGGGCTGCAAGGATGAGGGGATGTGCTGGATGAGGGGCTGCAAGGATGAGGGGCTGCAAGGATGAGGGGATGTGCTGGATGAGGGGCTGCAAGGATGAGGGGCTGCATGGAGGAGGGGATGTGCTGGATGAAGGGCTGCATGGATGAGAGGATGTGCTGGATGAGAGGATGTGCTGGATGAGGGGCTGCATGGATGAGGGGATGTGCTGGATAAGGGGATGTGCTGGATGAGGGGATGTGCTGGATGAGATGTGCTGGATGAGAAGATGTGCTGGATGAGGGGCTGCATGGAGGAGGGGATGTGCTGGATAAGGGGATGTGCTGGATGAGGGGCTGCAAGGATGAGGGGCTGCATGGAGGAGGGGATGTGCTGGATGAAGGGCTGCATGGATGAGAGGATGTGCTGGATGAGGGGCTGCATGGAGGAGGGGATGTGCTGGATGAAGGGCTGCATGGATGAGGGGATGTGCTGGATGAGAAGATGTGCTGGATGAGGGGCTGCATGGATGAGGGGATGTGCTGGATGAGGGGATGGCTGGATGAGGGGCTACAAGGATGAGGGGTTGCATGGAGGAGGGGATGTGCTGGATGAGGGTCTGCATGGATGAGGGGATGTGCTGGATGAGGGGATGTACTGGATGAGGGGCTGCAAGGATGAGAGGATGTGCTGGATGAGGGGCTGCATGGATGAGAGGATGTGCTGGATGAGGGGCTGCATGGATGAGGGGATGTGCTGGATGAGGGGATGTGCTGGATGAGGGGCTGCATGGATGAGGGGATGTGCTGGATAAGGGGATGTGCTGGATGAGAGGATGTGCTGGATGAGAGGATGTGCTGGATGAGAGGATGTGCTGGATGAGGGGCTCCATGGAGGAGGGGATGTGCTGGATGAGGGGCTGGGCTGGATGGATGGATGATGAGGGTCTGCGTGGATGAGATGCGCTGGATGAGAGGATGTGCTGGATAAAGGTATGTGCTGGATGAGGGGCGGCATGGATGCGGGGCTGTCTGGATGATGAGGAGCTGTGCCGGGTGAAGGGCTGGATGGATAAGGAGGGGCTGCACTGGATGAGTGCTCCTGGACAAGGCACCTCCTCGCCCTGCCCGGCGCTGAGACAAAGGGATGGGATGTCCCTGCTCCCCTGCCCTGGCTCTGCACCCAGTGCCAGGCTCTGCCCTCACTCTGCCTGCGCTCTGCCCGCCCAGTGCTGACAGAGGCAAAGGGATGCTCCAGCTCTCCCCTCCCAGCACTGCCTCTGCAGCCAAGGGCACACCAAGGTTACTCGCATGCATGAGCAGCTCTCAGACAAGAAAAGGCGGAAGACAGGGAGCAGCAGAGCCCTTCATCTCAACAGCCAGATGTGGCCACACAGGGCAGCCCAAAGCCACCCCAGTGCCCAGCACACCCTGGAGCCCAGTGCCCGGTGGCAGAAGGTGGTGATGTGCAATGGGTTATAGCCCCCAGGAGGGGTCCATGCTGAGCCAACGGGGCACCCCTGTTCACAAACACAGGGCAGCCCCCCAGAGTAACCCTGTGTGCTCATGGGGAGGATGGGTTTTATGCTTGGCACTGTCACCCCCGAGCTGGAGCATTGCGGGGGTCAGCACAGGCACCCCACGGTGTGTGCCCAGTGCACCCGTGGGCCTGGGGAGTGCTGGCCCCCAGGATGGGTGTGAAGCCATGGGCTGTGCTCTGTCCTGCAACCAGCTGATGTGACTACAGCCACCCCAGGAGGGCTGGAGCAGCAAATACCTCCTCCTGCTCTGGGACAGCTCAAATGCCTGTGCTCAAACAGGAAACCTCCAGCATGCTGCAACCCTGGACCCTGGCCAGAGCCAGGGGCACCTCAACAGTGCAGAGGGAGCTGAACACATCTGGGAGGAAACAGCAAACTCTGGATGTGCTGGGCTGTGCCCAACTGGCAGGAGATGGCCCTGGCCCCACAGAGTCCCTGATCACAGAGCACCCTGCTCCACCATGGTGCCACCCATCCACAGTGCCAGAGGGGAGACCGAGATGAGATCTTAGGCAGGGACAAGATCCACCCTGCCAGGTTGGCCATGATCTATGTGCTCCATTCATCCATCCATCCATCCATCCGTGCCCGAGGTGCCACCCACCCACAGTGCCAGAGGGGAGAATGAAATGAGATCTTAGGCAGGGACAAGATCCACCCTGCCAGGCTGGCCATGATCTATGCGCTCCATCCATCCATCCATCTGTCCATCCATCCATCTATCCATCCATCCATCCATCCATCCATCCATCCATCCATCTATCCATCCATTCTTCCATCATCCATTCATCCATTCATCCATCCATCTATCCATCCATCCATTCATCTATCCACTCATCCATCCATCCATTCATCCATCATCCATCCATCATCCATCCATTCACCCATCCATTCATCCAGCCAGCCATTCATCCATCCATCCATCCATCCATCCATCCATCCATCCATCCATCCATCATGCATGCATGCATGCATGCATCCATCCATCTATCCATTCATCCATCACCCATCCATCCATCCACCCATCCATCCATCCATCCATCCATCCATCATCCATCCATCCATCTATCCATCCATCCATCCACCCATCCATCCATCCATCCATCCATCATCCATCCATCTATCCATCCATCATCCATCCATCCATCTGTCCATCATCCATCCATTTATTCATCCATCCATTCATCCATCCATCCATCCATCCATCATCCATCCATCCATTCATCCATCCATCCATTCATCCATCATCCATCCATCCATCCATCCATCCATCCGTCCATCCATCCATCCATCCATTCATCCATCCGTTCATCCATCCATCCATCCATCCATCCATCCATCCATCATCCATCCATCCATCCATCCATCCATCCATCCATCCATTCATCCATCCATCCATCCATCCATCCATCCATCCATCATCCATCCATCCATTCATCCATCCATCCATCCATCCATCATCCATCCATCCATTCATCCATCATCCATCCATCCATTCATCCATCCATCCATCCATCCATCCATCCATCCATCCATCCATCATCCATCCATCCATCCATTCATCGATCCATCCATTCATCCATCATCCATCCATCCATCCATCCATCCATTCATCATCCATCCATCCATTCATCCATCCATCCATCCATCCATCCATCCATCCATCCATCCATCCATCATCCATCCATCCATCCATCCATCCATCCATCCATCCATTCATCCATTCATCCATCATTTGTCTTCCATCCATACATTCATCCATCCATCATACATTCATCCATTCATCCATCCATCCATCCATCCATCCATCCATCCATCCATCCATCCATCCATCCATCTTCCATCCATCCATCCATCATCCATCCATCATCCATCATCCATCCATCCATCATCCATCATCCATCATCCATCTATCCATCCTCATTCCATCCATCCATCCATCCATCCATTCATCCATCCATCCATCCATCCATCCATCCATCCATCCATCCATCCATCCACCCATCCATCCATCCATCCATCCACCCATCCATCCATCCATCCATCCATCCATCCATCCACCCATCCATCCATCCACCCATCCATCCATCCATCCATCCGTTCATCCATCATCCATCCATCATCCATCCATCCGTTCATCCATCATCCATCCATCATCCATCCATCCACCCATCCATCCATCCTTGCTGCGCCTGCTGCCCCTCCACTGCCAGCCAACCAGGAGGTGGAGAATCGAGCCCCGGCGCAGGCACTCACCCCGTGGTGATGTCGTCATCCTCTGTCAGTGTCTTCCCCATCAGGTCACTGTCGCTCATGTAGCCCGACTTCAGCTCCACGTCGTCGGTGTCCAGCGCCTCGACCAGCTCCAGGCGGGAGATGTGGCTCAGCTTGCTGGGGCTGCGCATGGGCATGGTGTGCGAGTAGTGCGCCCGCTCGCCGTGCATGTACCAGCCCGGGGTGCCCTCGGAGCGGCACGTGCCCCCCACCGACGGCGCGTCCCCCGCCTGCAGGCGCGGGCTCGACTGCCCATAGCGCCAGGACAGCGGCGAGGAGCGGTTGGAGAGGCTGGAGACGCTGCGCGCGTTGGCCTCGTCGCTGTCGTAGCACGTCATCTCCAGCGAGCTACAAGGGTGCAGGGGGGTCAGGGCAGGGCATGGCTGGAGGCTCCCAATGGGAGCAGGGACACTGTCCTGGACACCCTCCATCTAATAACAGGGTGCCCAGAGAAGCTGTGGCTGCCCCATCGCTGGCAGTGTTCAAGGCCAGGGGCTTGGAGCAAGCTGCTCTAGTGCAAGGTGTCCCTGCCCGTGGCAGGGGTTGGAGCTGGAGGAGCTTTAATTTCCCTTCCATCACAAACCAGTCTGTGGGTCTACAGCAATGCTTTAGCAGCAGTTACTCCAACAATCACTTTGACCTAAGTGGAAATCCCAGTCATGCTCCCCCATGCTCAGGCTGCTCTCCCTCGACCATTCCCCACCAGCACTTCAACATCTGCACCCCAGTATCACCCCAGACCCAGGACAGGACAAACTGGAGTGGTGGCACACTGATCCCTGGGGATGTGGCAGCAGATGCTGTGAGCAAAAAGATGACAAGGGCCAAACCAGGACCAGATCCCTGCACCAGCACCCCACACTGAACCCCTGCAAGTGAACCCCCATGTCTGGGCAGGGGGTGCAGCCTGAGATGGGGCTCCCCAGCCCCACAGAGCTGCTCTCCAGCCTGCCCAGAGCCACGAGTGCTTCAGGAATGGGGAGCCAGTTACTCCCCACACCCCTCAGGGCGTATTTTGGGCACACAGCAAGTTGGGGGGGGGAGTGATGCTGAGACTAAATTTAGACACCAAAAGTGATGAGTACTTGGGAACCCACAGCTTTCTCCTTGGCTCCAAACGTTACCATCAACGAGCTGTTCCCCAGCCTGAATTGAATGTTCCTGCAGGGGCACTGAAAGCCAAACCCCGGCTGCAGAATCTAAAGCAGGGAACTACATAACCGCCCCAGGAAGTTTGCTAAAGCAGAACTCAAAGGGTTTCGTGTTGGGCAGCAGCACAAAGGCTGTTTGAGGATGTTCTGCCTGCAGCTCGGAGCACATGTGAGCCATTGACCTCGGGCAGGACTAAAGGAAGCCCCTGAGGAAGCTCGTGCCAGGAGCACGGTGATGTCTTTCAGGAACAAAGTTGTGTCCTAGGAGAAAACAGCAAAGGCTGAGCCGCAGCCGATGGATGGGGGAATACGGAGAGGAGAACAAGAGGAGTTCTGAGGAATAATTTCTGGGAGGAACAAAGAAAGAGCCCAAAGCAGCTACAGGGACACCAGTGATGCCAGGTGACGTCCGTATCGCATGCACTTGCAGGGCGCGTTCCCGAGAGCAGAGTTAGAGGGCACATGTGCAATTATAACGTGCCGGGGAAGAGCTGACCCAGCTTTGGTAAAGGATGCTCCTGGAGGGATGCAGGGAGCGAGCTGCGAGCAGGGTACCAGCGGTGGGGATGAGAGCCCCACCAAAGGCAGGTTAAGCTTCCAAACAAACTCAGCTGCCATGGGATAAGAGGGAAGATTCTCACATATTCAGGAGCTGCACGAGGGACAGAAGGCAGGGGCAGGCATCTCTGGCCTATCCAAAGTTGGTTTTCTCTGTGGCTGAGGCCTCCACCATGCACTGTTCTCATAACTCATCGGGAAAAGGAAGTGATGGCCAAGAGTCAAAACCCACCAGTGACGCTCAGTGAATCCCCTGAATTTAATATCCTCATCCCACTTCCCTAAGGCCGGGGCTGATGGGGGATCTGCACAGGAGCCAAACACTGGGGCGAGACCACAGCAGGTGAGGTTTGACACAGAGGAATGAGAAGTGAACCCAAAGGGAGCCCAAAGTGAACCCAAATCAGCCGACTTGGTGTGAGCAGCCCAGCTCCTGCACCGAGCAAAGGGACGGCAGAGCTGTGATGGGTAACTCCAGGATAAGGCCAGCCTGGGGAATGCCGCCGTGACTAGATTGGAAGGGATTCAGGAAGTGCAGCAAGGACGAGCAAGGTCTGGCTGAGCTCCTGCGTTCGGAAGGATGCCTAAATCACGGGAGCTGCTTCACCTGATGGAGGGGAGACACGCGGGGGTCGCTAACGATGGGTGAAGGGGCTGGGGGGAGCTGCTGCTTTCTGCCCCTTACAGCAGAGAAACGAGGACCGAAGGAGACCGCGAGGTGGCAACAGACACCGGGAGAAGGATGCTCTGCGCATCCGCGGCTTCCACCCGAGAGCCGCTCCGCCGAGCCCTGCCTGCGCCATGCCGAGATGCCCCCCCCCACCCCCGGCGCTGCAGGGTCCGGGCCCTTCATCCGGGATGAGGATGCTGGAGCTGGGGTGCAGCCCCCAGCACGTTCAGAGCACAGCAGAAACGCTGCACTGGGCTCCAGTGGGAGACCGGGGGGGAACAGTCCCAGGCATGCGTCAGAGAGCTCGGAACAGGGGTAGATGCTCTGTTGGGGTTCACCGGCCGATCCCAGCCCCTGGGGTGCTGCTAGCCCCGGTGTGGGCAGGGCACCCCACTCTGCCCATGGGCTGCAGGGCTTTTGTTCAGCTCTGTCTCCATCATCCCCTTGACACAGTGGAAGTGAGTCACAGATGGGGATGGAGGCTATGGTCCAAACCCGGGCAGGCACAGGGAATACAATACCTGCACCCCATACAGGGACACCCGACCATGGGGAACAGACCTCACCCCCTGCACAGGGCCTGGGGGCTCCTCTCAGCATCACCCCACAGCCCCACAGCACATGAGGCTGTGTTGAGCCCAGAGCTCTGCCAGAGATGGGGCTCTACCGCAGCCCCACACACGACACCCCATGGATTTGGGGGCACCTCTCCAGCCCCCATGTGTAGGCACCCAGGCTATGGACACAGCCGCTTCACCCCATCCCTGCCCCTCACCTTCTGCTGCCCCAGGAAGGACACTGGTTGTGGGGAAGGGGTGGTGGGGGTCTGGCACTGGGGCCTCACCTGTGAGACACCTGAGAGCCCCTCAGGCTGGACATGGTCTCCTCCAGGTTCTGCCGAAGGTCCAGCACGTTCTGCACCGTCCTCTTCCTCTGGGATTCGGGGTCTGCGGAGAGACAAGGGGTGAATGGCTCCTGTGCCCCTCTGCCCGTGCTGTGAGCACCAGCTCCTGCTCTGCCCACTGGAGGGGACGGGGCAGGGACCAGGCTGGAGCTGCACCACCACGAAATGCCACCCAACGGGGGCTGCGCTGCGATGGGGATGCCTGGTCTAGAAAGGACAAGCTGGTGGGGACCAAAGGGGGCCACAGGAGCCACACAGGGAACAGCTACAGCCAGGTACACCTGAAGCTGCCCCATCCCCAGGCTCTGCTCACCCACCGGCCCGGGCACAAGCACCTCAAACCACTGAAGCAGCTCTGATTTATGCATGACCCTGGAAAGCGGTGACAAGCGGTAACAGCCCGATGAGACAGGTTAAATCAAGCAGGTTAAAGCCTGCTGTAGATGATGGTAAGAGGGTTGCTGAGCCCCCAGGGAAGCCAATGCAGCCAGCACACACCAGGACAACCAACCCTGAGTGTACGCGGTCACCCTGGTCCAGCTCCCAAAACAAGGCTTAGCAACAGGTTAAGTCATGAGCTCCTTACTAAACCTTCACGCAGGAGGAGTTAATCACAGGCACAGAGCACAGACTGGTGCCCCAAGCAATGGGGGCCTATAGGGATGCCAACAGAACACCCACCGGTGTCCCCTGCAGCGAGGACCCCCAGGGGACCCACGAAGCAGCATCCAAAGGAGCTGCTCATCCACCTCTTGCCCACATCCCCACCGCGCTGGGGTCAGTGCTGGGTCCAGCACAGGAAGGGGCCGAGGCGGGGGGGGGGTCTTGGGGCTGAGCCGAAACCGGAGCCGCTGGGAGAGGCCGGAGTGTGGGAACAGCGGGAGCGCGCTGGATTCCTCCCCGCAGCGATTTAGCGCGCTTGCTGCAGCCAGATGTTCCCAGCTGCTGGAGCGGGAGCAGCGGGGACGGCTCAGCCTGAGCGTGCCGGGGTCCAGGTCAGTTCCCGCAGTGTCTCCATCCCCGCTCCAGCTCCCGCAGGCTCCATCCTGCTGTCACGGAAGGAAGGGGGGGCTGGCTCCGGCCCTGCGCTCCCCCAGCCCCAGGACGCTGTCCCCAAGCCCTGTGCAGGGAGGTCACAGGCAGCTCTCCCAGTCCCTGCCCTGCTCCTTTCTGAACTGAGCTCTCAGCGCTCTCTTCAACATGAGTTAACAGGATATGGCCCCGCTTCACGCATGGGGAAACTGGGACAGGCAACCCCGGGCACCCCATTGCCTGATGCTGTGTTGGGTAGCGTGTGCTGGCACAGCAAACAGGCTCCGTGCCCGTGTGCTGCCCATCACCCCATCTCTGGCCTCGCACAACTGGGAAGCAGCAGGTACCACCACCAGGGTGGGATGCGGGGCTGGAGGCAGACGAGGAGGAGGAAGCAGAACTCAGGGCCAGGCGCCGCAGGGCTGACAGTGCCGAGCAGCACAGAGCCAGGGCTGGAGGAGACCGGGGAGCTCCAGGTCGTGCCACGTCCGGCCCTTCCCATCCCCTCCAAGAGCTCCTGCACCGCGGGCGCTGCCGACGTGGCCAAGGACGTCAAGGAACGAGGGAATCATCAACTCCAAACGCCTCGTGACAGCTCATTTCAAAGGAGCATGTGGCCAACAGCTCCCGCTGGGGCCAGGCAGAGCCGCGGCCACGGGACATGTGTGCCTCATGTGCCTTGGCACTGAAACCACGTGTGTGTGTGTGTGTGTGTGTGTGTATGTGTATATGTGTATGTGCATGTGTATGTGTGTGTGCATGTGTGTGCATGTGTGTGTATGTGCATGTATGTGCATGTGTGTGTATGTGCATGTGTATGTGCGTGTATGTGCATGTGTATATGTGTATGTGCATGTGTGTGTGCATGTGTATGTGTGTGTGCATGTGTATGTGTGTGCATGTGTATACATGTATGTGCGTGTGTATGTGTGTGTATGTGCGTGTGCATGTGTGTGTGCGCATGTGTGTATGTGTGTGTGTGCATGTGTATACATGTATGTGCATGTGTATGTGTGTGTATGTGCGTGTGCATGTGTGTGTGTATGTGCATGTGTGTGTATGTGTGTGTGCGCGTGTATGTGTGTGTGTGCATGCGTATATGTGTATGTGCGTATGTGTGTGTGTATGTGTATGTGCAGTGTGTGTATGTGCATGTGTGTGTGTGCATGTGTGTGCATGTGTATGTGTATACATGTATGCATGTGTATATGTGTATGTGTATGTGTATGTGTATGTGCATGTGCAGGTGCATGTGTACATGTGTATGTGCGGATGTGTGTATGTGCATGTGCATGTGTATGTGTGTATGTGCATGTGTGTGTACGTGTGTGTATGTGTATGTATGTGCATATGCATGTGTGTATGTGCATGTGCGTGTGCATGTGTATGTGTGTATGTGTATATGTACATGTGTACGTGTATGTGTACATACATATATGTGCATGTGCATGTGTATGTGCATGTGTATGTGTGTATGTGTATACGTATGCACATGTGTATGTGCATGTGCGTGTGTATGTGTGTATATGTATGCACATGTGTATGTGCATGTGCATGTGTATGTGCATGTGCATGTGTATGTGTGTGTATGTGTATATGTATGCACATGTGTATGTGCATGTGCATGTGTGTGTATGTGTATATGCATTTGCATGCGTATGTGCATGTGTATGTGTGTGTGTGTGTATGTGTACATGTACATGTCCGTGCATGTGTATGTGTGTGTGTACATGTACGTGCATGTGTATGTGCATGTATGTGCATGTGTACATGTACATGTACATGCATGTGTATGTGTGCGTGCTGCCCAAGCCCCTCTTTGCATCAGGCACAGTTCATGTGGGGGCCACACGGTGGCAAAGCCCTGCAGAAGGGGGGTGCATGCACACCCCTGTGCCCCTGCACGAACACATGCAGGCGTGAGGACAGCGGCAGCCGACGCCAGCCCCGACACGTCCGTGCCCATGTTCACATGCACAGCACCAGCACTCGGGTGGTCGCGCCCCCCACCACCCAACCGGTCCCATTTGCTTAGAGCAGCCCCCCGGTGACCCAGGACGGGGTTTGAACAGCAACCAGGAACGTGCTCCGAAAGGCCCCGCGGCGCTCCCGAGGCAGGGAATCGGGCCCCCATCGCACAGTAGCTCGATGAATTCCCCCCCCAAGCCGGGACACGTTGTTAACCCTTGCTCAATCCCTTCCAGCACACTGAAAGGCACCAATAAAGCACAATAAAAACCATCCCCTCGGGCCATGGGATGCCTCCAGCTCCAGAAGCCCCCTGCAGACACACGCTCCCCACGCCAGCGCGCTCAGCCCCTGCTCTCAGGGTTGATGCGAGACCCCCGGAGCCTGGCCCAGCCCCACTGAGCCCTGCAGGTTCCCAGCTACGCTCTGCGCCTGCGATGCGGTTACCGGCAGAGTCTTTCCATATGGAGTGAAACGGCTTCATCCGGCATTCCGGCCCCCCCCCGCTCCAGCTCTGATCCACGCTCCCGGATGGTCGGGCAGGGGGATGGTCACAACCTGCAGTCCTTCTCTTTGTGCTTTCATTAACTCCCGTCCTCCCCACAGCAGCCTCCACACGGGCTAAACCAGGAGCAGCGATGGGGCTCTGCACGGTGCCTGCCCGACCCGTTGCGTTTCCTTCCACCACTGGCCTTGTTTTCCAGCCCATCCCCATCCCTGTGTGCTCCAAGGGATGTACCAGGACGCCCCCAAACCACCCCTCTCCCTCCAGAGATGCCCCATGGGCAGAGCACATCCTCCCAGCTCAGTGGGAGCTCACTCATTTCACCCCTTCCTGCAAACCTCCTGCCCCACACCATCAGAAGGCAGCAGGTTCATTAGCACTCGGGTGTTAATTGCTCCCAGGCTTTCAGCTGAGGAGGCCAAGCAGCAGGAGCTGGGGCAGGCGATGGGTTTCATGGTCCAACCCCTCCCAAGGAGCATCAATCCCTGTGGGGCACAGCGAGGGAAGAAGAGGGGTTCCCCAATGGCCCCAGGTCTCATTGCTGGACCCTCCTGGAACAGGGCTCTGCAGGAGGCTCCAAAGGTGGCTGCAGCAGGAAGGAAGCTCCCTCCCTGCCTGCACCCGCTGTCCCCATCACCGCAGCCACGCCATCCCCAGCAGGGACAGCCCCACACCCGCCATGGGGACAGCAGCTCCCCACTGCGGGGTGAGAGCAGAGAGGATGAGCAGCGGTGACAGGCAGGGACTTGTGCTGAATCAGCACTTGTGGGGCGATGGCTGCTGGTGACAAGGGGGGGCGGAGGGACCTGGAGCCTGGACCAGCTCTGGCTCCAGCCAGCCAAGCCTTTAAAAGGGATTCAGACTTTCTCAGGCTAAAGCAGCCATAAATCCACTTAATTGGGTCTCTCCCATACACACGTTTCCAAGCGGAGAGATCCAGACCGGGCCTCCAGCCCATTTGAGGGTTATTCCCTCAATGGATGCTGCGCTTGGCCTCAAACCACCCCACCTGCACATCCAGATCCCAGCTCCCCTTTCAGCAGCAGGAGCCTCGAGCTGCTCCATGTCCCCTGCATCCCACCTCCATGACCCCCTGCTCCTCTGCACTGATGAACCTCGAGAGCCCAAAATCCCTGCCCCAGGCAGACCCTGTACATCCCTGTACCACGGCTGCCTCCAACGCTGGTCCTGCAAAGTGCTGGAAGAGTTGGGAGCATCCCAACACCCCTGTCCCACTGTGGGTCTCCTGAATAACCTGGAGGAACACCCTGTGCCCCTTGGGAAGGAGGGAGCTCGGATCCTCAGGCTGGATCTGTGCCCGAGGATCTGACCTCTAAACACCAGCACACACGGAGCACGGTGACAGCAACACCCAGGCTAACAGCCCCACGGCCTCAACATCACCAGCGCTCACTGCACGTGGGGTCTGTCCTACACCAGGGCCCTGCACAGTGGGGCCAGGCTGCACACACTGCGCTCCGTGCCTCAGTTTCCCCTCGGGGCTCTGCATAATGAGGAGTGCACCCCAATGCCCTCCT